GGGCCGGTTGTTGTCTAGCTGGGGGCACCTCTGTTCAGCCACTTCAGCCTGGCCAGCTAGTGGAGCGTGTCAAGGGGTGGGTGTGGTGGAGGATTCGGCCCCGTCACCGCTGAGTCGCTCGCCTGGGCATGTTTCGGAGAGCTTCTCAAAACTTCAAAAATTAGGGAAATGGTCTTGTTTTTTGCCCTGCAGGGGAGGGGTTATTTTGGGGGTGTCACAGCACGCTTCATCAGATAGGTGAGGAATGTTGTGGGATGCGCAAGCTTGCCAGCTGCACCTGTTTAATTCGGTCTGATTAACCCTGAGATAATGTTTTCCATATTTTAAGACTGAGTGTTGCTGTGTTTTTTTGGGGGGGAGGGGGGTGTCACACAATCCTGTTCAGAGTTTTTTGGGGAGAAGGCGTCCTTAATTTTGGGGGGCATGCGTGGAACATGCTGTTGCATAAGAAGTAGATAGCCATAGATTGTTATAAACCCATGGATTTGAATTTCCTACTCCAACACACCACATACAGATTTACTTTCCACCGCTGGGGCAATTAAAGTCCCTTAGACAACAAACACGGTGCCCCCTGGCGTTTTTCATTTTAGAGGATTTTGTGTAACGAAATGCAGAAACTGCCCTGTGACCAATGTTCCCTCTAAGCTGAGTCGGTGTGAGCTAGCTCACACCGACTCAGCTTAGAGGGAACTATGCCTGTGACTTCAGGAAGTTTGCCAAGCAACTCCTGAGCAGAGGTGCAGTGGATCGGGTAGGGGTGGTGGTCAGAACGGCTTTCTAATCCTGTGCCCTTTTCTTTCCCCCCCAGAATCCGCACACAGGATCGTGGAAGAGTCAAGGGTTGGCGGAGGTGGCCACCTATTGCGAAGAGAGCCGTTGCAATAACCAGTGGGTGCCCTACCTCGCTCTCCAAGCTCGCTGAGACTCCACCTGGCCCGTCGCCTGGGGTTTTGGGCTGAATTCTGTGTTTTAAAAGGCCAAAAAACAAAAAAAGAATATTGAAGGGGATGTTCTTTTTTTAAAAAACAAACAATCCACAAGCCACCGCCACCTGCCCGCCCTTGTCGGAACGGAGAGTGGGTGAATCACCGCCCTGGAAGATGACGGAAGAGGTTGGAGGCGGGCGGTTGGCGGGCTGGAAGCTGCGTCAGCTGACTGCTCGGAAAGGAAGAGGAACAGGAGAGGGAGAGAGAGCCATGAAAGGCAGGCGGCTTCCCAGCTGGCATTGGTGGGGATGCGGAGAATGGCAGAGGCGAAGGCGAATGACTTCTGGGCTGCGTGACTGGGGGCTGGACGTTGCACCGGAGAGCCAGGACTGTGTGCCGAGCAGAGGAGTGATTGGACCGGGACGCTTCCTCGTGGGTTGTGGCGGAGGAGTGAAGGATGTACCGGTCTCTGTGCCACACAGCTCTTTGCAAAGGACTCTTAACTGTGGAAGAGAGAGAGAGAAAGGGGGGGGAAAGAACTTTTAGAATCTGCTAGCTTATGCAAAAATTTATATATATATATAAATCAAACAAATAAACCGGACTCTGCTGTTTAAAAAGAACTGGAGGAAGAGAAGCTGTTATTTATTTTAAAAAAAATATGCACAATGTCTTTTTTTGCCTTTTGCACTCGAAAGCTGATCCTAGAGAAACAAAAAGTAAAAAATATATTCTTGTACCTTATTTTAAAAAGTTGCAATAATGCTAATAAAAAAAATGTATGCATTCTGTAATTAAGAAAAATTTGTCTTGTTTTCTTGGGAGGTCCTTCTCTTGGTTTTGCAAGGCTGGCTGCAGTCCTATAGACATCTTTCCCCAGGGTGTAAGCCCCTATGTAACTCAGTGCTGCTTACTTTTGAGTAAGCATGAAGAGGGCCAAGAGGCCTATTTCTGCTGGGGGTTGGGGGTGTCTTAGTTTCCTTGCAGTAGGAATTTGGCTGGTAGCCCAGATTTCCTCTCTGCAGCATTGTTGGGGGAATTGAAAACTGCTGCAATTCTGACCTTCACACGAGTGAAGCCTTCCAGTTGCTCCTGTCCCTTTAAGGAGTGCACACACCCATTTTTTAAAAAAATGATCCTGCCATTGTGGGGCTGAAGTGTATTTTTGCAAAATGTCCCCCTTCTCCGTGGTTTGCAATGGGGTTTAACATCCAGCACCGCAGAAGAAAACAAACAGGAATGTTATCGAACAAAAATTATTTGTTGGCTTACAAGCGAGCTTCAGGAATCTGGAGCAAGGAGCCACACAAAAATGCAGGCCCTGAGACAGGGTCACCCGTCTTCTTTAGGTTGCAACTTCCGGTCCCCAGCGGCTCCTAAAAAAATGTTGTGGTTGGGTTTCGGGGCGGGGAAGTCGAGCAGCAAAACATAACACTGATCCAGAGCGTGGATGCTAATAAGCGAGACGCGCCAGCCCCTTGTTTAATGAAAGGCCTATGCAAACCAGGTTTATATTTAGCTCTGTGCTACGGGAAGCCAGGTTGCTTGCTAGCTCAGGGAAGCCAAACTTAGAAGGGGTTTTTCAATATCCTGGCCTGCTCTTGCTGTAGCAGATGTTTTGTCACGGTTGTTCCCGTTTCCCAGAAGAGGAAACTCTGTCTGCAAAAAGGACGGGCTAGAACACAAACTTTGCAGGTGTCCCCCATCAAGCGTTGGTAGTCACCTAGCCTTATCCTTAACATGTAGCTCTTTGCAAAACGTGCAGCCCTTGATCAGATGGAGCGAGAAGTCTGTGGCCCTGAATCCAGAGAAGATTAAGAAATCCAGGCTGAGTTTATGTCCCAATGTATTGCAGTGTAACAATCGTGTTTGGGAATTCAGCGGCTGCAATCCTCCTGTCGTCACGGGCTTCCTGCTGGCCTGTTCTTTGCAGCATGGGCCCTGCTTATCTTGGAGCGATGAGGGACATGCTCTCTGCATAGGCTCACAGGCCTGCTCTTGGTTGAAAAGGGTGGAGAGGGAGTTTCTGGTTTTTATGATCCCAGGGCGAAGGTGGCTTTGGCTACTGAGCAGGCGGAGGTCGAGAGGCCGTCCCAGTGTTTCTGCCGGTACATGAGAAAGGGCACAGCTGTGCTGTAGCTGGCGGGGCCACATGCTTGGCATGTGTTGGATGCCATTTACAGTCCCACCAGCTGTCCCTGTGCAATCTGCATTTTTGCCTTGGAAAACACTCTCCGGTCACATGTACAGCCTGCAGTACTGGGTTGCCGGCCTCCAGGTCGGACCTGGGGATCCCCTGGAATTACAGTTCAACTCAGACTACAGAGATCAATTCCCCTGGAGAAAATGGATGCCCTGGAGGGTGGGCTCTGCGGCGTTGTGCCCCACTGAGGTCCCTGTCCCCCCCCCCCCAGGCTCCATCCCCAAACCTCCAGGAGTTTCCCAACCTGAATCTGGCCCCCCTTTAGGATCCGGGCTGCTGATGTAGGCAAACTTTCTTTTGCTGAGAACCTAGGAAGCTACTGTCAAGTCGATAACACCAAGGGAATCCGGCAAATGGCTACATAGCTCCCAGCTCCTACTTTTCCCATGGTGATTCTCTGCAAGCCTGAATTTAAACACAGGTCTTGCAGGAGGGCTCTCTGTGTTCTCTAAATACGCGACATAAGTACGGAATGTAATTCTGGGAGCCGTGCACAACAGTCGGGTTTTGTGTTGCTGTTTTTTAACATTAATTTTCAGCTGAAGATATCAAAGTCCTCAGGGCTGGAGTCATGGGTTGAAAGTGTGTGGGCAGCGCTCGGCGAGGGCCAGAGAGCCGTGCGTGATTTCAGAGGCTCGAGGGCGGAGCGTGGCTGTTGCACACGGGTTTCTGCTCCGTGCCCAAGGTGAAACAGATTATGCAAAGTTTTGCAAAACTGCGTTGGGCTTTGCGCGTCCCGCAGGGAGCCAGAGCGGCCCGCCTGGTGCTGGAGAGCAAGCAAGAGGGAAACGCTTTAACTGATTCTTAGCACACGCACGCACACACCACAAGGGAAACTATCCTTCACTACTCCCTGCAGCTGCCTCTGGGCCCTTTCCAAAGTGTCATGGGCAAGAGAACGCTTCCCGGCCGTCTGACATTTCGTCTCTGCAAATGCGTCATGCTTAGGGGGTTTTCTTTTTGCTCTCTTGGACAGGAGGGAAACCACTTTCCGCCCCGTCACCCCCGCTTCTGCGCAGCCGTGCCTGCCACCCCCACCAAACCACAACCCCGGGCTTTGCCGGGGACGCCTCTCTGCCTGCACCAATGCTCCCTGTAAGCTGCGGGGTCTGGTGAGCCAAAATCCTACTTTGTGAGCTGCTGCCATTACAGTTGTGAGCGAGCGATTTGGCTGCTGCATCAATTAAGTTTGCTCTGGAGCCGTCCTTCCTGAGCTAAGACAAAAATGTGCCAGCCGGAGGCTAAGAAACTGTGAGCTAGCTCACACGAATTCAGCTTAGAGGGAACACTGCTCTGCACCCAAGGAGAGGGCCAGCCGCCCCCCTGCCCTCCTTGTACACAAGATTGCTAGGAGGCTGTCACTGTGTCACAGGAGGGGGCGGCTGCAATGTGTGTGTGGGACGCCCCTGAAGCAGGCCGCTCTCTGCGGCTTTGCAGGTAAGGCTGGCAGCTCTGGCTCGGGAACTTCCTGAAGATTTGGGGGTAGAGCCGTGGGAGGGCAGGGTTTGGGGTGGGGAGGGACCTCAGTGAGGTACAGTGCTATAGAGCCCAGCCTCCAAAGCTGCCACTTTCTCCAGGGAACTTATCTCTGATGACATCTGGAGACCAGTTGTGACTGCAGGAGATCTCCGGGCCTCCCCTGGAGGTTGGCAACCCTATTTTACAGGCTCCTGGGACCCAACACAAAAATCATTCCCGCTCCTTTCGAGGTTTTCAAACAGAGGCTAGATGGCCAATGGACAGCAATGCTGATTCTGTGAACTTAGGCAGATCGACAGAGGGAGGGCAGGAAGGGTTGCATCAGTGCTTAGTTCCCATGGCCCAGGGAAATGCGGATCGCCACTTTGGGGTCAGGAAGCAATTTTTCTCCAAGCCAGGTTTTGTTGTTGTTGTTGTTTGCCATCTTCTGGGCATGAAGCAGGGGTTACTGGGGGGGGGGTAGGTAGTTGTGAATTTCCTGCACTGTGCAAGGGGTTGGACTAGATGACCCTGGAGAAGCCCTGGGGTGAACTTTGAGAGACAAAGAGAGAAAAGGAAACAGGTTTTGACATTTAAAGAATCTGAAGACTCGTAGCCCACAGGAATGTCCTCCCAGGTCTAAACCCTGACCTTCTTATCAAGGGCCTTCTGCATGCAAAACAGGGGCTCCACCGTTGAGCTCTGGTCCCTGCAGTCAAAAGCTGTGGGTATTTGCTGCAGCTACTGAATCAAACCTTTAGTCACTTGGGCCAGTATTTCCTGCTCTGGCTGTCAGCCACACATGGCAGAGACACGTGTTGCTTTTAGCTGCTTTGGGTCCCTATTGGGGAGAAAAGAGGGGAACAAAATAAAATAGGGTTTGGACTATGGTAATGGGGGGGGGGATTCCTGCCTTCATCTCCTGACCAGTGTTCCCTCTAAGCTGAGTTAGTGTGAGCTAGCTCACAGTTTTTTTAGCCTCTGGCTCACACATTTTTGCCTTAGCTCAGGAAGGATGGCTCCAGAGCAAACTAATTTATGCAGTAGCCAAATTACTTGCTCACAACTTTAATGCCAGTAGCTCACAAAGTAGAATTTTTGCTCACAGCTTAGAGGGAACATTGCTCCTGACATCCCAAATTCCTTCTAGAGTTTCACGAGCTTTACTTCTACTTGAGGCCGCATGGTGGATCCTGCCTTGAGGGATTCTCTGGAGACAAGAGAGGTTGGGGGGAGCCCTTCCTCTCCATATAAATGGAAGAGCAGCAATAATACCTGCAAAGGGGCTCAGAGCCCCACCACCACCCATAAGAGGAGCCCCGCAGGATCAGACCAGGATCTGTCATCCAGTAGAGCATCCTGTTTCCAACAGTGGGTGGCTAGACACCTGCAGGAAGCTCACAGAGCAGGAACAACAGGCATTCAGAGGTACGCTGCCTCTAAACATGGAAGCGCCATTTAGCTGTTATGGCTCATCTTTGTCTCTACGAATGAGTCACTCCCTTTTCAGGCCATCTGAGCCAGTGGCCATGCCTACCTCTTGTGGCGATGAGTTCCACAAGTTAACCATGCCTACTCTGGGTGGGCAGTTCCTGGAAATTCGGAGGAGTGCAGCCCGGTCAGGATGGGGTTTAGGGAAGGGAGAGACAGCAGTGAGGTATAATGCCGTGGAGGCCACTCTCCAAAGTAGGCCGGGGGGGGGGAATAGTCTCTGTAGTTTGGAGATCAGGAGTTAATGTTGGAGTCTCCAGGCCCCACACAGAGGTTGGTATGGACATTGTACGACGCACTTTTCTTTTGTCTGCCTTTGTAATCGCAGGGCACTCCAGTTCTAATATGAAAGGGGAGGGTGGGACTCTCCACTTTCTCCGCCCAACCCTGCCATGCCCTCTTCTTTCCAAATTCCGTTTTGCATCTGCTCTTTGGCTTGCCTTGGGCAGCCCTTCTCAGGAAGGGGGAAACGCAAGGGGTTTTCCCTTAAGGAGAAATTCTTCTTAAAGGAAGAGAAAAACAGGGGGATGTTTGAACAGGAAGGTCATGC